CATGTAAGTTTGTTTAAGATTAAAAAGTAATGTTAATATAGATCTTTTTAGTTTCTTTTTTCCTTTAAATGTACTTGTGTTTGTCTGGGTTCATTTGGGAGATAGAAACTACACAGTGGATTAAAGGGGGTAAGTTTTATGTAAAGAATTATTAAACTGGGACTAGCAGCTGGCGTAATGGCTATGTCGCTGGACTCCCATGTAGTCGAGTCCCAGACCCAGTGGCTTAAACTTATGCCGGGCGCATGTGTGTGCGTGCCCAAGATCCTGAGAGGGGAATGGAAGAGAAGGGATTGTGGTGTGGCTATCCTCTTGAGGGGGTGATTTCTCGCTTTCTGTCTTTCTGGCTAATGCACACACCCTATAGCCAAAACTTCTCTTAAAAAAAAAAAGAATTATTAAACTATGATAAAAGACTATAAGGTACAAAAAAATTGTATATGGTACCTTAGGGTTGAGGGAGGAAGGCCATACTTATAAGGAGCCCCTTCCCTAATACTGGAGTTCAGACCTTATTGGAGAAGGTGTAGTTCAACTGACCAAATTAGTAGAGGAATTCACTGTTTGGCCTGAGCTGGGCTGTAGTTCATGGCCAGTCAGGGCAATCTGTAGTGCAGGTAATCAGCAACAGTTGGCAGAGCCTTGCAGAGGGTGCGACATCTGTACGGAAAATTAAGGATGAGCAGCCATGTGGGCCTTTGGAGGAAAGTGGGTTCTGCTAAGGGCAAGGACCCTGCAGTATGCTCATGCACACAGGACACCTTTGCAGTGCTGAATTCACTGTCAAACAGGCAGATTATGCTAGGCTGGCTGAGGCTGCAAAATTGCTGAAACTACACATCTGGTCATGTGGCTGACCAGATGTCTTCACCCCATGCTGCTAAGCTAGTGTGCAGCACTTGGAAACTGCAGAGGAGGCTTTGCCCTGAGATCTCATTTCTGAAATCTTAGCAGTAATTTTCATAGTAGAGATGCTTTAAAGATCTGTGTGTACACTGAAGTGTAAATTTGCAGCTGTGTCATTAAATTGATAACCAGAGCAATACCATTCTTTTTTCCTGTTTACTTTTTTGGCTTTTTTTTCTTTTTCCATATAGGTGTGCGAAAACTTTTACTAATTTCCTTTTCTGTATTTTTTTGTTTGCTTTTGTTTGTTTTTGTTCCTTTAACCCTATCAGCATTTTGAGTGAGGTAATTGTTTTGGAGCTGTCGTATACATCAGTTAGAATATATTGCTTTATAACATACTTAGCCTCTATCTACTATAACACACACACAGAGAATTCTGTTAGGTCATCGGAAAAGTCATGATGCATTTTTACATAGGAAGGCATAGAAAAATACATCATGACTTTTCTGACGACATAGTAATAGGCAGATGTCTCCAGACATTACTAGATGCCTTCAAGGGAGCAAAAGCTTTCCTAGTTGCGAACCGCTGTTTTAGTCCATGTTTTTTTTTCTTCTCAGAACTAGTATAGGGCTGGTTGGTGAAATGGTGGTTAAGGAGGCTGGGTCCGTGACTGAGTGCACAGTTTGAGCCCTAGACCTGGTGGCTTGAAAAACATACCGTCATGTATGTGTGTGCCCAAAATTTTGCTAGGAGAATGGAGAAGAGATCACAGCATAGCCATTTCCCCTAAGGGTGCGTTCTCATTTCCCACTTCTCTTTTTCTCACGCCCTGTCTCTCTCTAGCAAGTACACGTGCCCTGTTGCCAATAAAAGGGGAACCAATGAACTTGTGTCTCCCCTTTTTTTTTTTTCTAAATAATTATTTTATTTTAACTTTATTTCTTTATTTATTTTAAATAAGAAAGAGAAAGTGAGAAAGCAAGACACCAGGTCTGGGACTTGAACCATGTGTGTCGGCCATGTGGGAGTCCAGCACCCTTAACAACCACACCACCTGCCAGCCTCTAAGCCTGTCTCCTAAGAAGGGTTTATCTGTATTTTCTAACAGGTCCTAATTTACTAAAGAAGCAGTCTAAAATAATTATTAAAATTTTATTGTTAGAGGAGGCATTAGAAACTTCAATAACTTCTTTTTTCCATCTATGAGGAGGTCTTCAAAAAGTTTTTGAAAAATGTGTACTATGAAGAGACTGCTGGATTTAAAGGGTTCTTTTTTGGCACCAAAATAAACGCATACTTTAATTCCATTGTCCATGAGCTTTTTGAAGTCCCCTTGTATGTGTGAATTAAGTCAGAAATAATAATACATTTTATTTCTAGTCACTTTGCTATTCAGTTGTGGACCTAAAATTTAGGACCTCAGTTTTTTTAATATGGAAAATTATGTTGGTAATTTTCTCTCTCTCTCTCTCTCTCTGTGTGTGTGTGTGTGTGTGTGTGTGTAATTTTTGCTAGAGGGCACATGAGCTTACCAGTGAGAAAGAAATGGGGAGTGAGAAAGCAACCCCTCTGGGGGATGGCCACACTACAATCTATTCTCTTTTCAAGATTTTGGACATATCCGCACACACACCTAGAATATGTTTTTCAAGCTGCTGAGTCCAGGACTTGAACAGTGCAGTCCTCCCTGTGGGATCCAGTTGCTTGAACTACTATTCCAGCTGGTCCTATATGCCTTTTGTTTTGTTTTGTTCAAGAGCATATGCTATAGCTGCACCATACTAGGTATGACAGATTTAATGATGAGGCAATGAGTAAAATTTCAAGTATTCATGAAGAATAATTTGTTTACCTATTACATTCTTGTTACTTGATGATAAAAAGAAGCTTTTTAAAAGCATTGAAAGAATAAATACTTCTTGTATGAAAGGACTATTTCAAAGGAGCTCTCCTCTTAGCATTAAGACATAGTTTCCTGACTGTAGCTTTTCAGTTTTAAATCAGAAGACCATGGTTCTAGCTGTCCCTGTACTACAGTGGTTAAGTGCCATGTATAGAAAGCCAGATCCCACATGGCTAACTACAGTTCAAAACGTGGCCTTGGTGAAATGAGCAGAATTGGCAAACCATAGAGATAGAAAGATTAGTGATTTATAGGCAGAAGGGTTTAATTAAAAAATTTCTTTGGGAACCTTCATACTTCCTCCATAAAATCAACTGACTTCCATTTCCCAGCAACAACATGTGTTTCCTTTTCTCTACATCCTCGCCAGTATTATCAGATATATAGTTTACAATTAGTTTCTCTCACTCTGTAGATTGTCTCTTCACTAGGTGAATTTCCTTTGCTGTGCAGTCTTTTTAGCTTGATACAATCCCATTTGTCTATTTGCTCTCTGCATAGGTTTTTGAGGTGTTATCTAGAAACTTCCTGCTTAGACCAGTGTCATAGAGCTTTTCCCTCTGTGTTTTCTTCTAGTAGTTTCATAATATCAGGTTTTACATTTATGTCTTTTATCCATTTGAGATTGATTTTTGTTTATGGTGAGTGATAAGGATCAAATTTCATTCTTCTGCATGTGGTTATTCGTTCTCCCCAGCACCACTTATTGAAGAGACTGTCTTTTTCCTCTTGTGTGTACTTGGCACCTATGTCAAAAAGCCAGCAGAATGTATATGCATGGGTTTATTTCTGGGCTTTCTCGTCTGTTTAGTTGGTTGATCTATGTTTTGTGTCTGATTTATCCCAGCACCATGCTGTTTTGGTTACTGTATCTTTCTAGTATATTTGAAATCAGGTAGTATGATGTCTCCAGTATCATTCTTTTTCTCAAGATTGTTTTGACTATCTGGGATCTTCTATAGTTCCATATGAATTTTAGGATTACCTTTTTTTCTATTTCTGTGAGCAACAAGTGTTTTTGGGTCAATGAAAATGTCCTGAACTCTGAACATAATAAATGTACCTGAATTCCATACTTTAAAAAGGTGAATTTTATAGTATGTATGTTTTTAATTGACTGAAAAATTTTAAAACCATTTAATTAATCTGAGGATAAGCTGCAGTTGATACTTTATAAATATCAGTTTCATATTTCTTCTAAAGCTTTCCCTATAATTTATCTTCTTTGGTGTTTAATATATACTATGTTCAGTATTTTGACCCTTACATTTTTACTCAAGTTCTGGTTAACATTTAGGTCACTTGAAGTTGTACCTTTATATTTTAGCAATAGAAGTAGGACCAGGAAAATCAACGTGGGTTCCCTACTAGCTTTTTTTGTTTTTGTTTTTATTTTTTACTTTGCTAACACAAGTAGTTATATTTGTTTCTCTTATAGAAAAAGATGATTATGCAAACATCTAGGAGGAAGAAGCAATAATGTAGAAAATATTAATTTTATGTTTGGTTATTGAAAGATGAGTTTGGGGTTAGACCCATTGTGCTGTTAACTGCTGTGCATGGAAAGCTGGATGCCATATGGCTGACCATAGTTCTGATCACAGCCCTAGTGAATTGAAAAAACATCATACCAGGTTCATAAGTATGAGATGGGAAATGGAGGAAAAAGGATTGTGATAGTGACCATCCCCATTAGAGGGTACTTTCGTTCTCTCTCTCTCTCTCTCTCTCTCTCTCGCACTCTGTTACTCTGGTTAGCACATGTACCCATTGGCATGTGTGTGTGTGAAACTAGTTGATGTAATGGCTACATCACTGAACTCCCATGTAGTCGACCATGGTTTGAGTCCCAGACAGGTGGCTTAAACTCACGCTGGGGATGTGTGTGTGTGTGTGCCCAAGATCCCAAGAGGAGACTAGAGAAGGGATTGCAGCATGGCCATCCCCACTGGGAGATGATTTCTCGCTTTCTGTCTCTCTGTCTCTGACTTTCTGGCGAGCACACACGTCCTACAGCAAAAATCTCTAAATAAAAAGATTAAAAAAAGGAATGTGTGTGTGTATGTGTGTGTGTGTGTGTGTGTGCACACACACATACACACACACATGAAAGATGAATTTATTAAAAATTAATATATAAATTATGTTCCTGGAGAAACTTCTAGAAGGATTTTTAAAATTATTTTATCTTCATGTGAGGGATTCCAGTATAATGTTACTCATTTTTAATTTATATCATTACAGATAGATTTGACCAGTTTTGGGCCATCAATCGGAAACTCATGGAATACCCTGCAGAAGAAAATGGATTTCGTTATATTCCTTTTAGAATATATCAGGTAGGAAGCAACATTTTTAAAAATATCTATTTGAGAAAGCCTCAGATATCTTACTACTTTTAGCCCATTATTTCCAAACTCTTTGAACCGTATATATTAGGGTTCTTTTTTTTTTTCCCATTTGTGTCTCTGGTGGCAATCAAATAAGAGACTGTACTGAACTACTTGATTCATATAGTTGATACTCATTATTTCTAGGTTTCTTATTGACAGATTTACCTACGTAGTGATATTGCTTGTAATCCCAAACTTGGAGTAGGTTTGTGGTTATTCCTAGACATAAATGAAGCAGTGAAAAATTTAATTTGCCTCTTACGTGCTCTCGTTTCAGCTGTCATACTGTAAACAGGTGTCCTTGCAGTTGGTGACATGGTTTTTACATCTGGTGATTTTGTTGTTTAAGATGGACACTATCATAGTGTTGAAATGCTATTTTTAAAGAGAAACCCGTATAAAAGAAGGTCGTATTGAATATTGATCATTTGATGAACATGTTGTGACCAAGGCTCACAAAAACATAACTTCTTATTTCTTTTAGGACAGTGGCCCAATATTTGGTTAGTGTTTGGAGGGACTTTAGACCACAAGCATGGCAAATAATGACAATTAGTTATATTTGTTTTAAATAGTGAGTCCTTAGACTTGTACAGCCAAGTAGACAGCAGGCCCACAAGTCTTTCTTACTGGATGCTTGTGTGAAGAGATGCTCCATTTTTCTGTGGAGTATATAAAAAAATCCTGTGTGCTTGGCATATAGCAAATATAAAATGTTTGTTGAATGAATGATATAGCAAGTTACTATCATGAAAATGTATGTAAGAGCAGGAGCTGAAAACATAATTACGTAAGCATAGAAAAATCTAGTAGGACATCCATTCAAACTTGGAGAAGTTTTTCATAAAGTGCTTTTGTAGCCATTTTGAGTATTATACAGTCTTGACTAATAGCTATTTTTGTAATTATTTCATATATTTTATAACTCCAGAAAATTCTGTAATTGAATATAAGCAAATAAAAATCTCAATATACTGAAAGAATGAAGAGTCTGATTTCGTGTTAATAGGTGCAGTTTTCTAATGGTTCATATTTCTCATGAAAGCAGGGTTGTTGTTACATTTTTACCGTGTGTCCAGGGTCTAGAAAAGTGTTTGGTATGTGAATTTTTGTTGTTTATTAAATCATTTATTCACTTTATTGTAGCATAAGCTGTATGGTAACATATGATAGGCATTCCCACAGCTTAGCAAAGAATTTTATTGTGGAGTCACTTGAATAAAATATACTACAGATTCTGAAAACATTTCCAAAGGGAGAATTTCAGAACTGTTTTGAGACTTAAACCTCCTAGCACTGGATTGTTAAGTTCTGCCATATATATTTTACTATCTGTAATATTTTTTATTGTAAATACTTGAAGTTCCTAGAGGGGAAGTATATGTTATTTTACTTAATGTAGGGATTATTATTGGCAGAATAATAGTACAGGTGTACAGAGGAGAAGTCTTCCTTTTTAAATTTATCCTTCTATTCTGGGGGAAATGATCAAATTCATCCATGCCTCTTCCTGTAGTATCATAATAGAGAAGGATTCAGAGAGTCAGGGCCGAGGGCAAACCAAAGAGAGAGAGTGTGAGCGAGCGAGAGAGAAAAAATGGCTTCTGTAAAGTGTTGTAACCAGAAAGTAGGAAGGTAGAATTCTCAAAATGTGCTTGAGAAAACCTGGCTGCCAAATAGGAACTGTTAGGGCAGAACCTCCTGCTTGATCTTATCTGTGTCAAGGCAGTTGGGCAATTTTTCCTTAAACGGAAATTTGAGACAAAGAGTCTGAAGACTTACTGGATTTTATTCATTATTGATTACCTAAATTAGTTTACGTATAGCTTTATCCTCTTTCCATTTTGGTTTTTATTTAAATTTGGTTAAAATTTTAGAAGTGAGATTATTTAAGTGAATATAAAAATTTAGAAGTCCAAGTTTTTGTTAATTTGTCATTTTCTAGCTTTCCCCATTTCTCTACTATGTGTTTTTGAAACATTATTTATGCCTTGACTAAGGAGGACAGGACTCTGCTTTCCTTTTTTTAAATTATATAATCTAAAGATAATATCAGATTCTTGTTGCTGGCTTCTGGTTGAGTTGTATGGTTGTGATATTCTGTTAGGTTTACTTTTATTTCTGTAGCATTCTGATTCATTCGCTCCTTTCATTTTTCCCACAAACTACCTCATATAAATCTCTGTACTATTTGATTGAGACCTTAAATTAGTAAATTTAAAGAAAACTTGAAAATCCAAGTGTATTAATAGGCAAGTACAGGGCACGATTTTTACTAAAATACTTGTTTTACTCTGCATAATCCTAATGGAATCCTGTATACAAGGGGGCAAGGAAGCGACATTGAGCATATTTGATAGAGATTCATTTTATTGTTGAATCCTCAAAACCATTTTAGGCTGTCAGAGTCATTACCTGATTTTATATATAAGGAAACCGAAGATCATAAATGTTAATAACACAGATGAAAATGGAACAAATAGAATCCAGACCTAGGTCTGACTTATGAACAAATTATAATTCTAGCTTATGAAAATTAAGTTTACGTATTTTTTTTTAACATAATGACCCAAAAAGTGAAGTGCACCTTGACCAAATTAGTTTATAAGAACTTAGAAAACCTGTGACTTGGTGGTGGGCTTGAAAGCTGACTTTGCAAAGTCTTTCTCTTGTATGTGAAATGGGTTTATCATGGACTCAGAATGACTAATAAAGTGATAAAACTCTAGTGGGAAGAGTTAAATTGGTCCAGAAGCCTTCTAGACGTGTTAAACTGTGTCATTTCTGTCATTTACGTAACAGTGTAGTTGGGTGCACAAGTTTCATGATTGCGTTCCTGAAATCCAGAGGCTTCGTATTAGTATTCTAAAGATGAAGTTAGTGACAGGAAATATTTCAGAACCATAACCAACATTTTTTATTTAGACTAGCACATATAAAACAGGTGGTGGTGATTAATGAGGGCGCTTATCAAAAAGATTGGTAAAATGACCATGAAGCCCTTAAGCAGTGGTATTTATGTTGTAAATTGAAGTTAGGCACATCGTTTCTATTTTCCCAAGAAGCAGTGGATTCATAAATGCCAGTATCCTTCGGGTCATTCATTCTTTCATCCAACAAGCTTATTTACTCATACATATTTGTGTGCCTTGCCCTGTAGTGCTTATACACTGGGGAGACAAGTGATGATTAATATTATGTATTAACCCTTACAGAGTTTATGTTGTGAAGTTTATGGTAAGAAACTAACTAACAAAGTATACAAACAAATCTAAAATTTTAGCTTTGACTGTTGTGAAGAGGTATATAGTGTGATAAAAGCCCCAATGTCTCTATGGGGAATTGGATCTAGTTTGGGAGGTCAGAGTTGGTTGCCTTGAATAAGTGGCGCATCTCCACAGATCTCTGATGAGTGGACTTAGCAGTAGGCAAAGAGCGTTTTGATATGATAGCCTGTTTGCCTTGAACACAGAGCACTAGGGAGAATATAGCTACAGAGTCAGACCGTAGTAAGTTTTCTCTTTAGCCTATGAAGAATGGGAAATCCTAAAGTAGTTTTATTAATCTGAATATTCATTGATATTTATTCAGCAAAGATAATTTTTTCATTCACCTACTTTGTTCTATGTGTTATTCTTGAGGTTATAAATTGCTTTAGAGAATCTTCTTAGGAATAACCTAAGAATGTTATTTTTAAAGAAAAACATGAAGCTGATAAGCTATACTTATTTTTTGCCTTAAATGTAAAGGCTTATTTAAAGTATGCATACTTATTAAGGAAATTTAAACAATGTTCAATTCTATGTGAATCTACACATTGGATGACAATTTTCATTCTCACACAGTGGATGACTCAGCATCTTACAAAACAGAAAACTCAGCTGAGTAAGTTGCGTATCTTCGCTTTTGCTAAATAAGCTAGCAAGGCCATTTAAAACTAATATATCCAAGCTATGTGTAAACAGAAAAGACGAATATTTCTAAAGTAAATATTACTAAAAGAAAGTATTTCCATCAATTCTGAACCAACCACAGTTTTGAACAACAGACTGTACAAAACATAACATCATCCATCATTTCAACCAAAATCTCAAAACTTCTAGATTATGTATTTTTTCAAGTTACAGGCCATTTATTGTCAAAATTATAACCCTTTAGTATTTTTTTTTTTTGAGAGATTTTCACTGTAGGGCGCGTGTGCTCGCCAGACAGACAGAGAGAGACATAGAGACAGAAAGCGAGAAATCACCCCCCAGGGGGGATGGTCACGCTGCAGTCCCTTCTCCTCCATTCTCCTCTCGGGATCTTGGGCACGCACGCACACGTGCCCAGCGTGAGTTTTAAGCCACCGGGTCCGGGACACGAACCGCGGTCGACTACGTGGGAGTCCAGCGACAAAGCCATTATGCTAACTGCTGATTCCCTAACCCTTTAGTATTTCTATAAGCAGATGATTCTGCTTTCCTTCCCTAGGGAAATGCAAGTAGAGTAATATCTAAGAAATACGATTAAATTAATTTTAATTATTTCATGTGGACTTAGTAAGTCACTGCTCTTTAATGCAAAAACTGCCACTTGAAATTAACGACTGTTGGTACTGCTTCAATAGATCAAATGTCTAATACACATAAAACATTCAAAGAAGTTCTGTATATCTTACAGCAATTCAGGGGAGAAGTCTTGTCCCAGGGTTACATAAATCTGAAGTACCAGAAATTTCTGGATCAGTCCAAGGATTTGCTCGTTCTCCTTTGGTAACTGAATTTTGTTTGGCTGCTGCCTTCCAGAACAAACACGAAACTTTTAACTTCTTTATCAAACTCTTTCCAAATCACAGATGGACTGCCAAGGATCTTCCATTTTGCTCCAGGATTTTTTCCTTGAGCACTAAAGATTTCAACAAATGCACCTCCCTGATACTCATTTTTGAACATTTCCACAGGGGG